CTATCTTATCTAGATAGATCTGTAGAGATAATAATATGCATCAAAAACCAACCATAGCAAGATAGGTGATCAGTGAGAACACAGCACTGGTAACAAAAAAGGAAACCATTTACCCATAGAAGAATAAGTTAATTAAAAAAAAAATTTTAAGCAGAAAGGAAAACCTGTAAATAGATCAAGGTCTGATTTTTTTTCTCTAGGCCTGTCCTTCAGTCAGGACCGATGGGGTACCATCTGACCATGATTTTTATTTTTAAAACATAACTCTCATACATAAATCTGGACAAACTTTCTCTCCTGATTTGTTTGAATAATGCAATGTGAATATTTTTAAATAAAATACTCAATAATATTGTAGGCATTTTGGGCCAACTTGAAAAGAACAAGTGTTTGCCCTTGCAATCTAGACATTTCTATATATAAATAATACATTTTATTTATCCCTGTATAATTTATTCTTAACTTTAATTTTGAATGTTAATGATGCCAAACCCATCTTGTACTTCCATTTTATTCTGCTACAGTTTTTAAAGTAGGATTATTTTCAGCAGAGTTGGATGGAAAGCCACACCCTTATTCTCTGGCCCTGGGCTCTATTTGAACTGCTCTGGGCCTCCCTATGATCATCAATAAAAAGCAAATGATGTCTATCAGGAAAACACATCTATCATTAAAATAATTAGTAAAATTATGCCAATATGTAAACCACAGATTTTAAATGCTTTTATTATTTGCATAATTTTTTTTACTTTTACATATTTGGCAAACAAAAAGAATGATTGTTAGCTACTCATTCTTATCCAGTGTCACTTGAAACTTACAGTTATCAAGTAAATATAAAATTTTTTAAAGAAAGATGGAGACCTCTCACTTCTCAGTCTCAATATGTAATATATGGTAACAGTAGTCAAAACAGCATGGGAATCATCCAGTGATCGTTACATAAACAGACGGGCAGAATTAAGAACCCAGAAGTAAATCCACCCACCTATCAATAGCTAGTCATTTAAAAAGAACAGAAGCACTCAATGAAGAAGAGATAGTGCGGGAAAAACTGGATATCCATTTGAAGAAGAATGGACTAGGACCCATAGCTCATGCATTTATAAAAAGAACTCAAGATATGGAAAAATAAGGACAAATTTAGGAGCCTTAGTGCATGGGATAACCACACTATCAAACATAATGAAAAACATAAGCATCAGAACATCCTTAAAATTAGATGCTAATTTCATCAAAAGAGCTAGCCAACAGAATTAAAAGATCACACAGACTTGGCAAAAACTTGGCAGTGATATGTCAGCCAATGGTCTAATTTCTAAAATTTATAGAAAGCATCTCAACAAGAAAAAGACAAATAATCCAATTAAAAATGGGCCAAGAACATGAAGAGACATTTGAACAATGTTGCCCCAAACATATGCAGATGCACTCACAATTGTTACCCATTTGAGAGATGCACTCAGAACACCAATGGTATATCATCAACCCCGGCACTCACAGCAAGGTTAAAAGAAACAGCAAAGAACACATGCAGGTGAGGATGAGGAAAAACTGGAGCTGCAAATCTGTAGAACCACTGTGGAGCGTGACAGCAGTGCTTCCTCAGAACGCTGGGAATAGAAATACCACAAGACTCAGTAATCCCCTTCAACCTGGCTTATGTCCTAGAGAAATAAGTGCTGTGACATAAATGGATATACGCGGGCCTGTGTTCATCACAGCACTATTCACAACAGCTAACAGATGGAAGCTACCTAAAGACTCGGCAGTGGAAGAGTGGGGAAGTCGCCATTGGTATGTACACACAAGAGGAGACTACGCCAGGTTAAAGAATCATGATGGCTCTGCAGAATACCTGATAAAACGGATTAACCTGGCAGGCCTTGGACTGAGGGAAATGAGTCAATACCAAACTGACTGTGGGTTTCTGACTAATGGGATCACTATTGTAAAAGTCAAGAACAGTTTTCATACTTTTAAAAAAATGTTGAAATGGCTCATGATGTTTTATATGTGCTTTTAACCGTGTTAAAAATATATGAGAACTTCCCCTCATGGGTCTAATAAAGCAGGCTGAAGATCAGCTTTACTTCTTTAACAAGAAAAACAATGGGAAATTTTGCATTTATAACTGACAATAGAGCTTTAAAAACCAGGAGGATTAGCTGAATTAAACTCCTGGAAAAGGAAGGCCTTTCCAGGTGAGCAG